TGAATCACATAGTGAGACCCTGTCTCAAACACACACACACACACACAAAGAAATTCTAGTAAAGACCAGGCTTGAGAGGGTTCTGCTGGCAAGAAGGGCTCCACTGATTATTGGAATCCAGTTGATGTTTATTATGGCTTGGTAGGAAGTTGGTCTGCATTTTGCACAGGTCCAGAGACTTTGCCTGAGACTGAGGTTAAGGGCGTGAACTAATCAGTCTGGAAGAAGAAATTTCAAGACAGCCAAATGTCAAGGCAGTGGCAGGGCTACTGATGGGCTTTTAGGCACATTATGTCAGGAGTCAAGAACAAAAGCCTAGCAGAACGATTTAAAATGTTGAGTGTAGTCAGAAAGGAAGCTCCAGCAAAGCTGTGGACTTCAAAGACGGAGCAGAGATCTTGACTGCTGAGAAGGAACAGTACAGAGATGGCCTGAGGACATCACAAGCAGAAACAGGACTCTGCCCTTCGAAGCCTCAAAACTGCAGAAGTGAGCAGCCCAGAGCACCACCCTCCAGAAATGGTGGAGCTTAAGGATTCAGTTCAGAGCGCCCGGCAGCCAAGGCACTAGAGCCTCAGCCAAGGGAGAAAGAAGCCGCCACCCACTCCAGCTGGCAACAGACTTTGGTATCATTCGTGTGGTGCTGGTTTTAGGTGCGTGCAGAATGCGAGTTATCAGCTCAGGAAGGCTTCTATTCAGACTTCAGAAAGCCTGGGAGGCCAGTAGTATGCGCCTGAAATTGCAGAGTGTGAAGCCAAAGGTGCAGAAGTTTGGAGAAGCCAGGAACACGGATCATCTGAGGAAAACTGGAAGGAGGGAGCAGAGCAGGCCCAAGAAAGAGCTGTGAGAGCTGCAACCACTAGTGGTACGGGAGGGTCAGAGCCAGCCAAGCCCTTCGGAGCTCACAGATTGCAGTGGAGGCTACAAGTGGGGATTTAATGTTTGTCCTGCTGGTTTTTGGACTTGCTTTGGTCCCATTCCTTTGCACCCTTGTTGGTACCTTTTGGAATAGAAATGTCTTATGCCATTATATATTGGAAATGTCTTCATTTGTAAAGGGACTCACTTAAATCTCACTGCTAAAACAAAATAGACTTGGACTTTTCAGCAGTGCTGAAACTGTTAAGACTCTGGCAACTCTTAGAGAGGTACTAAATGCCTTTGCATAAAGGGATGTATGTGAGTCTTCGGAGAACCCAGAGCGGAATGTCCCCCAAAAGCCTCATGCAGTCATAGGTAGGGCTTTCCAGCAGTGGCTGGACCTAGGGTGTGTGGTGCTAGGATAAAGAGTACTAATCTGTCCACAGGCAGGTCTGGCACCTGCCCTAAGCCAGGCAGCCTAGATATGAGCACAGAAGGGACAGAAAGAAGCTGCTGTGGTCCCCTTGCGGGCTTGCTTCTTCGCCTGCTTGCTTTTGCAGTCTCCTGCTTGCCACGGATACTTTTTCTCTGCGTGCCACCCACCTTGGAGCCAGCCAACCGTGGACTGAAACCTCTATAAACTTTGGGCCAAATAAGACTTTCCCCTTGAACTTTGGGTGTTGGGTATTTTGTCTTAGCAATGAGAAGAGTAAGACAGAGTTTACAGTGTGTGTGCTGATATGCCCCATACATCCTGTCCTTCCTTTCTTTTCCTGACATCAGTCAGGTTTTGATTTCTGGGCTGGGCGCAATTCCTGAGGCCCCAGGATCCCCAGCACCAAAATCCCCAGCACCCACACACAGTTCTCCTAGGAATGGGGACTCAGGTCGGTGTGCTTCCCAGTGCCGTCTCCAAGGACACATGATGACTGCATGGGAGACACGGGACTCTGACTCCCGTGTGGGAAGTGTTGTAGGCCCAGGTGATGGACCCCTATTAGCACAATCAGTCCGTGTTGTCAGACTGCCTCTGAGGGTAAAAGGGACTTAAAAGTTTCTTTATGAACTACTGAAATGAATCACAGTACAGTAAAAAAGTCTTTGACTATGAGCTACAAAAAGTGTTTTTATCAGGCCTGGGGATGCACAGCTGGGAGGCTGAGGCAGAAGGATCACAAGTGTGAACTAGCCTAGGCCCCTTACCAACCTAGTGAGACCCTGTCTCAAAGGGAAAACCAAGAAGGGGCAGAGGATACAGGTCTGTGTAAGGGCCTCGATTCAATCCCCGACTTTCACAGGTGTCTAACACTGTGGAACACTTTGTCAGCTTATAGATGAACCCAATTTAGGAACAATTCTGGAACAGAACACATTTGTAAGTCAAGAATTACTGTACTACCAAAAACTTTAATGTTGCCAATTCCCTTCCAAATCCAACGCTTATCTTAACTGAGATTATCAGATGTAAACATAAAGTAGTTCTATTTGGTTCTAATGAAGCAACATGTCCAAGCTCACATACTTTGGCCAAAGAGATCTGCAGTTGAGCTCCTCCCAGGAAAACTTGAGCAGTTTAAAGAAACTTCAGGGCTGCAGCCCCACGCCAGTGATTCATGGTCTAGCACCAATGCTAGTTTTCTGTTTGTTTTACTAACACTTAATAAATGAATCCCACAATGAAAACTATTTTTAAAAACCCAGCAGCAACAAAACAGAAACAAAATATTAAACAATCAGGGTAAATGCAACAACCAAAGCCAGTCAGTGGCTGTTGAAATCTTCTAAGACAGTTGATTTTAAAAGGTTTTAGAAAAAGCTTTAATAGCAATGAAAATTCACTTATTTGGAACACTCTATATTTAATTAGTTAAAAAGTGTCATCCAATGTGTTTAACAATACTAAATAATATAATTCAGCTCTCGTCAGAACACTTCTAGGAAACGGGAAATGAAAACCCTTCAGATTAAATCTTTCATCTTTTTACCTAGGAGCACAAACCTGTCAAAGTGCAACTTCACAAAATCCAGGGTTGTTTCTAAAGTAAAATTCAGACTAGCCTAAGCAAATTACATCCATAAAACCTGCTTTACCAAAGACATTGCCTAAAGCTGCACATGGGCAAAAAGAGTATAGGGTTCAGAGGGCCCAGGGGCTGCTGTGCCAGTTGGGCAGTGCAGCCTGGACAGCGGCGAGCCCCTGGCTGGGCTGCAGGTCTCAGCCTGAGGGAGGAGGCACAGGCCAAGAGGCATCCCAGGCGTGGGGCCCACGGCCCACCACACGGCCGCCCAAGCTCAGCCGGTGCTTTGGGGACAGTTCAGTATGGTTGTCCTATCTGGATAAACGTGTTATTTCTCGGGTAGATAACCCAGCTGGCTGAGGATCCGAAGCAGAAAGTCCTGGGGAAGCCTGGGGTTTGAACAGCCGCAGTGCAGTGTCTGCTCAAGGCTTCCGCACTGCTCGGCCTGGCCTGGGTCAGAGGGCTAGCGCTGCCCACCCACCCATACCCAAGCCACTTTCACCCGCTCCACCACCAACCAGGTGGCCTGACCAGGCATGCTTCTGACCCAGTATCTCAATCTGGCATCCTCACTAACTCTTGCAGGCAGATCTGAAATAAAACTCCAGCATCACATCACCACAGAGGGCCCTGAGCTCATGGGGTGGGGAGATCCGGTGTGCATGGATAATCTACAGCCACTCAGGTTACTTTACAGAGACCCGTGAGGCGCAGGTCCCCTTTGCTCCCCCATAGGGTCTGAAAGATACCACCAGTCAGGAGCAGGAGCAATTTAAGAACAAAAGTTTGACCTCATTAATCAAATCTCAAGTGGACCAAGAGGTGTGGCTACAGTCACCATCCCTCAGGCCAAGAACCTGGAAAAGCCTTCCATGGCCAGACTCACAGGGTTTACCTGAATTTATTCAAATTTGCAAAATCTGAGGTTACAATGAGACAACCTCCTCCGTATTTCCACTGAAAGAGTCCACTAAAAAGCAGCAATTTGTGACTTTAAGGAATAACCCCAATGGGAGGAGTGGCCCCCACCCAGATTCAAACTCTAGGCAGTGTCTCTTACAAGAAAACTACCACACCTGGTGGCACTCACCTGTAACCCTAGCACTCTGCAAAGCTGAGGCAGGAGGACTGCAAATCCAGTGCAGCCTGGAAAGCACAGCCAGGCTCTGGCTCAGACGTTAAGATGTAAAAAGTCTAAGGCTGAGCTCAGTGCAAAAGCTCAAGGTTCGATCCTGAGTGCTAACAAATGATGTACCTCCCCAAATGTACCTCCTCATGTATTAGGCTATATAAAGGCTGCTTTGCTAACCACATACTAACAGAATAACCTGGACATAAACCTGTGGCTGAACCACATTTATGGCTACACAGGCACATGTTTCAACCAATTCCAAAAATGCTTGATTCTAATCTTTCTTTCAAATGTTTTCACAGAAATGCCAGCCATGGTGATTATACCTGTAATCCCAGCGCTCAGGAAGCTGAGGCAGTTTAGCCATGAGTTTGAGGACAGTCTGAGAAACACGGAGAGTTCAAAGGCAGCCTGCACTAGACAGTGAGACCCTGTCTCATAAAACAATAAGAAAATACAGAAGTAAACTTATCCAGAACTGCCCAGATTTTTCCCTTTCCACACCTGTGCTACCTGTGAAAGCCACACAGTTATCTTCGGCCACTCAGATGCCAACTTCAGAATCTTGCCCTGAACCTGAAGATTCACAAGTTAGCAACATGGCACTGAAGGCACAGAAAGGTACCTGAACATTTCTGGGGTGCCTGTCATGTGACAAGCACAGCTGAGTTAACCTGCACCTCAGCAACGCTGATTTAACTCTGATTCTTACATACTAGGTACTGGGGCTCTGCATAGCTGATGGAGTATGATGCCAGAACGGACACCGGAACGCACGCAGAAGCCTGGCCACTGCTCAGGTCTCTTCACCACTAGGGCTATGAAACTAACTGGTTCTTAGCACTTTCGAGCAGAAGTGGTGGTCAGCACTCGGCAGATCTCCTGAGTCCGGGCGGGGGGGCCCAAAAATCCCAGCTGGCCGCAGCCCACACTACATGACTGCATGACTGCATGTCATCAAACTCAGATCTAAAGCACACACATTAAAATTTTGTAATTTGTCAGATAATCTTTTAATGAGAATTATAAAAGACCAAAAACATTTTTTTTGCAAACTGTCTTTTTAAACAAATGATTTTTTAATTACAAATACTGTGAATGATGATGTTTTCTTTTGCAAAACCAATAAATACAAGAACAAATTTTAAACATGTGATTTGTCCAAGTATCTGAAAAAGAAAAGAGCCTGGTTTTTCAGTATTTAGGTAATTCAGGATTTATTCCCTAACCTTTCAAAGAATAAGCCTGAGGGTGTAACGCAAACGCAAAGGGAAAGGGTGAGAGACAGACAGAGAGCATCTCTGAGCGGCTTTAAGTAGCTTTCCATAGTTCTGAGGGCTCCTTTCAGGGGCTCACAGCCTAGCGTGTAAAAGCCTCCTAGTGAACTGATTAATGAGGAAAGAATGCACTGGGCCCACGGACTGATGGCACCATAAACAATTATGCATTTCAAAGGACACTAACCTTAAAAAGGTACAAAAGAAGTGAGGAAAGCCCTGAATTACAGAAAAGAAAGTAGTTTATTTAATGAAAAACTAGAATTAATAAAAATTAGCAAATACACTCACACACCGGGTAAAAAAACAGAACCACAGCAGCACTATGTCAACTCGTGAAGGGGAGAGCGGTGGCTGGACCACCCAATGGCTTTCAATTACAGGAAAAAACAGAGGCGCCAGACACAGAACAAAAACAAAGTGAAACAAAAACCGGGATTCGCCAACATTACAATCAATCTACAACAAACACAAAATTCAGAATTATTTTACAATGCTTCCTTTCTTAATACAAAAGATGCCCATCCTGGGGGTGTGTGTATGTGTGTATATATATATATACACATATACATATATATATATATATATACTTTTCAGTGGTTTACTGTTGACTTATTTTTAAATATATTAGTGTTACTACATGCAACTGTTTCCTGTATTTAAAGCCTTTCGTTTATTTACCTTCCTGTGTCCAGCGAGAGTTTAAGACTGGCAGGCAGACATTCTCTGTGAAACTGAAGGCAACAGTTTTAAACACTGGCCCAAAAGTGTTTGACTGCCATTTCAACACATGGAAATCGTTACATTGATGCCTAAATTGCCATTTTCTGCAAAGAGCTGTGCAATGCTGGTATCAAAGACCAGGCAGTCACTATTCATGATGGCTGTTGCAATTCCCTCGTGAATAGACCGAGGCGTGGCTTCCCAAGTCAATCGCCGCCTATGACCGTTCAGCTCAAGTCGGTAAGCAAAGTTTTCAGCCTGCTTACGAGTTCCTATCAGTTGCACAATTGCGAAGAACTGCTGGTGACCATCGTACTTCTCCTGTTTCTCCAAGACCAGCATGAAGTGAAAGCCGAAACAGGACTGCATCATCACCCAGTCCACGGCACCAGGGAGGTTAATGTCTGTGGCAAGGAAGACAATGTCCTCCCCCTGCAGGGTGGTGATGGACTTGTGCTGGTGCATCAGGTGGGGCATGACAGCATCCAGGGAGCCTTGCCACTTGCAGGAAGCACCAGGGCAGGGGCAGGAGTAAGGCCTGAACTCGCACAGCTCCTCGTGGTCTGCTTTCTCTGTGTGGGGCAGAGTTATTTCACACCCAGAAGAGGCATATTTACAAGGGAAAAGTACTGAGTTGGCCACCTTCTCCATCGCCAGGTTGCGAATGGATCCCAAGGGGCCCCGGCAAGTCGGACAACATGTGAGCTTGGGGCGACAGTTGCTACAGACAAGATGGCCACTCTGACACTGGAGAATGGGTGGCAGCACATAGTCAAAGCAGACGGGACACTCGAACAGACTGGCCAGGTCATTGTTGGATGCAGTCGTGCCGGTCAGGGCGGGCACGCGCTGAGACGGTGGGCACTTGGAGGTACCGGTGGGCAGTGCAGTGGCAGTCTGACGGCTCATTTCTGGAATAAAAAGGTTTACAAAATTAAAGAGGCAGAAGACATATAATTACTGCTGTAAACATCACACATAAAAATGTAAATTGCACTAAAAATGCATTTTGTGCTTAGGTCCTGTACACTGGGTAAGCTTGCTTTTCAAACTGTCCCAAATCATATTTAAGAGCTGCTCTTTGAAAGTCCTGTAAACCACCTTTGGACACACTACCCAGTAAGAAAGGCTGAAGCAGACACTGTGTAACAACTGTATACACAATCAGAGCTGCTGGACTGGACAGTGCTCCATCTATCTCTAACTCCATCTATTTCTTTGTGATTTTCATCCAGCTGCTGACTGCTTCAGGGGTTACAGGTCCTGCGCAGTTCACAGGCCACAGGTCTCCAAGCCCTGACTGAGAAACTTCTTGCTGCTGAGGAGTATTTCCTCTAGAACTGTATTTTGGGAATGGGGTACAAGGAGCCACAGGGAAAGGACCCGCTACTACATTCCATGATCTTCTTTAATAAATCTTCCAAGACACTATCAGCAGAATGCGGATTCCGCTCCCCTCTGATCAGTGGCCCCCCCGACAGTTAGAGAAGACAGGGCAACAATAGAGAGCCACCCTTAAAAGTGTTAATCTAGTGTTTAGAGAGAACCTCACTCTGCTCTACTTCCATCCCATGATATAAATCAGATGATACACAAGGAGAGAGGACTCAGGTAAAACCACCACAGATGCAGAGCAGCACTTTGGACAGGCACACCCAGCAGCAGTCAAGTGAATAGAGGCTTCGCTGCAGCCTGGGGCTCCTGGGGCCCCCGAAACCATCATCAGCTGCATGGACAGCATCACTTATCAGACGAGTCTTTTGGAAGAAATGATCCAGCAGTACCTGGTGAGGGTGAATCACACAGAAACTACACTAGCAACTCTCCCTCAGGAATCAGCAGGTCACAAAGATCAATATGCTGACGTCCTCAGAGGGCGCTCAGGGAACACTAGGTCCCACTGCTATAAAAGGAGGCCTCAAGCTCAATGTTTCCTTTTAATGACAATCACTGCTCTGTTGTAAAGACCTTAATGTTTAAGAAACAATGAGACCAAAGTACAGTGCGGGTTCCAGACTACTCAAGTGACTGCCAACAGAAACTGTAAATGGGGGGCTGAGGCCGCAAACTGATTTCTCTGTGACTCCAAGGAACAGAGAAGTGTAATGGTCATTGAGCACGTGTGCGGCTGTGGAGATCAAACCCACACACACCCACACCCTAAGGTGACTTCCACAGGCTTAGCCACACGAATCAGCTTCCACAGAATGAGCAACACCGTCTGAAGCCCTGTGTAACCGGGGGAGTCCTGAGACACAGGGGCTATGGAGAAGCGTTCGCGTGCTCCCGTCTTCCTCCAGTAAGTTCCCGGTGCACAAGACTAGACATTCATTTTATGTCACCGGTAAGACAATGGGTTTATCAGTGCGGCCAATCATTCTGCTGTAAGCTCTATACGTATTTCAGGACAGTCCAGTACAATAACTGGAATTGTTCCATGAACACGAAACAGTCTAAGTCTCTAATGGCTTGCAAGCTACTGAACCAAACACTCACGTCAAAGAGCAGAAGCTGAATTTATATTTATATTTAACATAAAGCAGAGCAAAAAAAACCATGGTTATCCAATTTCTTGGCCTAGCAAAACAGCCCTAACATTTATCAACAGTTTCTGGTCTGCACTGTATTACTACTGCTTTACTACTTTCATGCAGAGCACACACTATAATTCCTACTGGAAGTGTGGGCAAGAGCTGCCAGCGCCTCTTGTGAACCAAAGCTACAAGATATCAACTGCTAAAACCTTCCGGAGCTGAGCTCCAAAGGTGGAACTCAGCTCCACGCTGAGCCGGAAAAGGAATTCCAGCTGCACACAGGCCTGCAGGAAGACCTTACAGCACAGCCCTGAGGAAGCCCTGTGGCTTAGCCGAGGTCTGATTTACAGAGGAAACCTCGCTGTCGGCCTCAGGCGTTCCCCAGCCCGACTCAGGCTCTGCTGCTGCTCTGCCATGCGTCTCCACGGCCCCGATCTCCAGCCAGTACCTCCGCCCTTCCTCGCCCTAGTCGTTGGTAGACACGCGAGCAAGACTCCCCTCCAGGTGCGCAGAGCGGGCCGGACGGGTTTCCCCGGCAGGGGCCGTGGGGCGGCGCATGGCGTCCCTGCGGCAGACAGTCCGCGCCACAGGCCGCTCCGGGCCACCGTCGGGGCTCAGGGGAGGCTTTCATCCACTGGCTCCCGGGATCAACGTCCAACCACAGACGCAGAGGAAAGGCCTTCGGCCCAGCCGGTGACCACACCTCCCTGCGCGCAAATTCGCCTGCGGCTCCAAAAATGGGAGCCACAGCGGCGCTGGCCTCCGTCCGCCTAAAAAGTTGTCCTGCTCAGTGTCAACGGCCAGGCTTCCGCCAACTGCCACACAGCGCAGACCGGGCGCCCTGAGGTATCTCCAGCCGGTTCCTCTCCGACAGGCTGTGGCCTTGGGAACCGCCCCGGCTAAGAAAACCAGCTGACTCCGGCCGGCCAGGCTGCGCCGGGTCGCTGGGCCCAGCCCAGGGCGGGGCCACCACTGGGGCGGGCCTGTGGGCGGGGCCGCACCCAAGCCCTGCCTGCCCGCCGGCCGGCCCCCAGCGCCCCAGTAGACCGCCCAGCCAGCCGGTCAGTTTCTCAGGGCTCCCACATCAATGCTGCACAGCGCGCTCTCCCTGCCATGCATCACACTGCCGAGTCGATCCGTGAATTCCCGCGTTCTCAAAATAAAAGTTTCTCACCCAGTTCATCTTACAGCCACACAGCCTCCCTCCTCCTCGCTCCTCTTCCTCCGCTGGCTGTCTGGTGCGCAGCGCGTTTAGCAAACAGGCCTGGGCCACCGGAACTTGTATTTCAGCCTCCGAACTGGTGCAGTGCTCTCTTCCCCGCTCTGGGGAAGGCCTGTTAACGCAGGGCGGCTTGCTTTGCTTTTAAACAAGCGTAACCCTTGCCCCATAAAGTCCCGTGGGCCTCGGCTGGGCACTGCGTCAGCGGGCGCGTCCGAAGTCTGCCTGGTCATCGCCTCTGCTGGGGCGGCTTTACACGCAGCCCAGAGCGCTATGCGGAACCAAGGCAGCCAGGGGCCCATAAGCCACTTTCGGGACCGACTAGAAACTCTCACCACTTTCCCACCTTACTAATACTCTGCGCGGTCACCTCAACCTCGTGTTAGTATTAGGCTACACGAAGCATCTGTGGAAAAGGAAATAAAACTGAAAACAGACACTATCTGCCATACAAATGTCAAGTTACTGCCACTTTTTTTCCGGTACCGGGAATTGAACTCGACCTCGCGCTTGCCAGGCAGGTGCTGTGCCCATCGCCTGTATTTTAAATGTGAATCCATTTTAGATAGGTCTTAGGTACACAGAGACGACTTTAAACACTGCAGGCAGACAACTCACAAGTACAGGAGAAGGCCAGCGTGCATATCAGACCTTGCCGGAGACTGCATGAAGTCTTTAGGCGCAGTCAGAGAACCTGGAGCCCCGGCAGTAACCCCACAACCGGAGTGCAAACAGAAGAGTTCTTGCAGACAAAGCAGGCTCCGTCACCGGGTCTGCTGTAAAACTTGATCTGCCCAGTCTCAAATGGTTTGTGTGGATTTCGATTCACGTATGTCACAGGTGGTATAATTCCAGGATAATCTCGAGTTGACAGCTCCGCACCAACAACTAGTGAGAGACCTAGAACACACACCCTCAGAGGTGCTTCAAACTTGCAATGGCGACCCATCTCTGCAGTGACCAAACACCATTCTGCTCTTAGCACTTTTAAATTTTCATTCCTAAACTGCAAAATATTTATTTACAAAGAGGTGAAAATTTCACAAAAAACATTTCAATAAAGCAAGTCTACAAACTCCAAAATCAATGAAAATTGAGCAAGAATATTATCTACCCTACAGCTCCAGCCTACTGTGGCAGGAAGTTTCCACAGATGTTTACCTAAAGCAAAACATTTCAGAATTAGCCTTTATGTTGTCTTGGTAATTTCATAGCATTCAGCTATTGCTCTGTGACATTAGCATCCTTACAACAGAAAGAAACAAACTTCTATTTTCAACTCCATGTGACTACATTTGTTGTCTCATAAATACTTACAAAATAAAACTTGAAATGGGGAAAGGGCAAATCAGGAAGACGATACACAGGGGAGGACTGGAAAAAGAAAAGGGAAGAAGGAAAAAGACCAAGGAATTAGGTATTTGTGACAGGATACTGGTAATTTTAGCTATATTTCCTTTAAAAGAGACAACAGAAAAGACACTATGAATTTGGGACAAGGGGTTCAATCTCCTGTATCCCTCCCCCAAAAAAAGAAAATGAGGCCAGGGATATGGTTCAGTGGTATAGCACCTGCCACCAAGCACAAGGTCCTGAGTTCGATTCTTAGCATCAAAAAAAGAAAAAAAAACTCATTAGTGTGATCTGTGAAAAGTTCAATTGAGAAAAAAAATTTGCATTTTCATTTACTAAAAAAGAAAAGATGTAAATATTGCTACCCCTTTACTTCCCCAAAATTAATTTTAGAAATTATATAATGTGTATCATAAAACTAAGGTTATAGGGATGGTGGTATGCTCAGTATAGAGTATATGTCTAAAATGTACAATCCCTGAATTTCACTGGGGAGGGGGCTGCCAATAAAATTACAAGTGTCCGATTATAAATTTGCACTTTACATTAGGAATGAGTGAATTAAAACTTCACTCAAAACAGAGACCCTTTCTCCTCCTCAGAAAGCCTTTTATGAAAAAAGGAGCTTTCTATATTTTTTGACATTGCGATGGGTATTACATATAATATTTGGTTTTAATATTAAATACTCCTATTTTAAGATTTACTTCTTGCACACTGATAAAATTAAAGCAAGTCTTAAAAATTCAACAGCTTGTTGTTGGGAGGAGACACAGGAAGGGAGAGGAAGTAAAAATGAATTAAGCGTTACATACATTGGACCACCTCCCCACAATATACATAATCATTATGTGCAGCAAACAGGTACCAATAAAAATAATGGTAAAATTTCAATGGCTTAAATGCCAAAAGTAAAAACCAAGCACTTTCCCCATCACGCGAGGCAAGGTGTAAAAGCAGCTAATCACCTGCAGTGGGCAAGCGAGCCCTCACAAGGAGCCCCATGGGCCAGCACCCACACAGCAGCTGCAGCCTCCAGAAACAGAACATGCCTGTTAGGCCCCCAAACAACACTGCTATATGTTTTCAATTTCCACACAGCAAAATCATAGTATTAAGAACTGTTGAGGACTGCGTATTTTCCCTAAAAACATTCTTTCTGAAGACAAACTAAAAACTTTGCAGCTATGCACAACGGGTCTCGTAAGAACAATGACCTGACGGGAGAAACTGGGGCCAACGCCTTGATAGAAAGCTGCGGCAGAAAACTGAACAGAAGGGTGACACAGTCAAGGGAAGGGAAATGCAACCCTAACTCAAAAGTGTAACGCCAAATACACTTTTGCTTCCAAAAATCATTACATGTGAAGCTTCCAACCGTGTGAAAAACTTGGATACAAAATCTGTTAGGCACTATGCAAATGATTCATGTTAAACAAAACACAAAGTAGGAATGAAATGTCAGTGAGATGCCTAAGCAGAGCCATCGTAAATGCAGATCATATACATGAGTCACGATAGGAGACCTGGTAGTATTTGGAGTCACACAGAAAAGCAGCCCGCCTAAAATAAAGACAAGCCAGTATGGCATGCAGAGTTTCCATTAGCTGAAGATGGCAACAGTTCTCCAACACTGCTGTGCCCACCATCTCCAGGGAGCCTTCGGCCTCCAGTCTGAAGCAGGCCCAGGCAGGTAGGGCTGCGGCTGCCAGGCCCAGGGAGGCTCATGCAAGTAGTGAGGCTTCAGACGGGAGAAGAGGCTCAGAGGCCAGAAGAAACTAGGTGAAGAGGCCCTCAGAAGCCACCGGAAGACATCAGGGTTCTCACACGCCAATGATAGGAGATATTAACCTTAACACACTCTTCAAGAAACTGATTATTAGAAAAGACAAGAGACAAACCTGATCATTCGAGGGCTCAACAGCAGAGTACTGGGGAATTCTCCTTACAAAAACTGTTTGATGAAGAAGTCAAAAAAAATCAAATAATTTTTTTTGATGACTTCACTGCATTGTAATTATTTTCTTTTTTTTTTTAATTTTATTTTGAAAGTAGTAAAATACAACAGAACAAGACAGAATAAAGCCAACTAAGATCTTACAGTGAAATTGGTATAGAACTTCACAGGTTACTGGAATAACAGTAATAAGTGTCACAGTATATTTCATTATCTTTACAACAGTTGTCCTTTCAATCACTTATATCAAAATAAAATGAAATACAGAACATTATAGAACTTATCAAAACAGAATATTGAATAGAGCAGTACCATTAATCAGAATAGAGCAAAACAGTTAAAAAATATTTGTCTTCAAAGAGATGGAGAAGGAAATCCCCCTTATTTTCTATGGTCAACCTCCCAGGAGATGCTCAGATTTCTGGTTCCCATTTGCTAATGGGGGGACAGGAGAAGCGGGGTAGGGGAAGTGGGATGTTTGACTCTAGGCAGTGCACCAGTAGGTTCACTATTGCTTAGCAGGGAGGCAGGCTGGTTACTTGGTTTCCCAGCTTCCTAAGTTCCAACATGATGTGGATCTCAGAAGACACTGGTGGTTCTCCCCCTGGAGGGGCCGCAGTCTGCCACACTGCAGCCACTTACCAGGGAGCGAGCTTCTTGCTTGGTTTCCCAGTGTCCTAAGTTCCAACATGGCACGGATCTCAGGAGACACTGGTGGTTCTCCCCCTGGAAGGGCCACAGCCAGCCACACAACCAGGCCACACCACCATCACCACTTACCAGGGAGGTGAGCTTCTTGCTTGGTTTCCCAGCTTCATAAGTTCCATCATGGCCCAATCAAATAATTAATCAAAATCAATTACTGGGGTAAAAGGATTAAAGCTCAGATGTCATTTTAAGTAAAAAGCTAAAGCATTGGCATTTTAATTACAAATTAGAATGTAAATACCCCAGAAGCCTTGGCAAGTGTGATATTGTTACATAATAAACCCTGTATTTTTTTTTGTCTCTACCCCTCTTTCCGAAGACGGTGCTCCTTTTCCATGCTAAAGAGACGACTGTGCAGGGAGCCCCAGTGGACCCAGCTCTCCAGCAGTTTGAATTCCCCTTCTTCCTGCTGCATAGCAAGGGGAAAGTAGCTGAAGGTAAGGCCACCAATTGAGCTAGCTGTGCATGTGTAATGAAGGCCCACACACCCAAAAGGTCAGTGTCAGAGGTTCCAGCTGCCGGATACATCCCCAAGGGTCTGCAGGAAGGGTCTGCAGGGCGCTGTGCCTGGGGAGGGCAGCAGTGCTCTGCGCCCTTCCACACGCCTTGTCTCTTCAGCATCCTTGGTAATGTAATTTTATAAAATTCAATATAATTTTAAATGAGTAGAAAAACACACCCCTGAGTTCGGTGAGCCATCCCAGCCAATTATCAAGCCTGTGGGGGAGTCTTGTGAACCCCAGTTTACAGTTGGTCAAAACTGCAGTAAGCTGGAAACGGCAGTGGAGTGGGGGCACCCTAACCAGGCGCCCGGTGACCCCTTTGGGGTCCGCTGGGAAGCTAGCTGCTGGTGGGAAAGCCT